GAAGAGGCAGAGTAAATTAGGAAAAGTGGGCTAGGGTTTCAGTTTTTAGCCTGGAACTTGAAACGGTGTCGCAGGGAAATAGCTAATTATCGGTTCGGTTTGGATTGATTCTGAATTTTAAAATTGAAACCGAACCGAATCGATCGATTTTAAAAAAAAAAAACTAAACACACTAAATCGATTTCGATTTTTTTTTGTTATCAGCTTTTTAGATCAATTTTCGATTATTTTTTTGGATTGGATTAGATTTGAACACCCTTATCCAAAGGTCAAACTCATCCCCACATTTATCTGGCTCTAAATCAACATCTTGACTCCTCAAATTCAATTTTTTTTATTAAAATATCTGATTCTCATTTCTTCATTTTTAATAAAATAAAATATTAATTTATTTAATTTCTAAATGAAAATTCAATTTTGATGAATTGATACACGGATTTGAAAAGCTCTATTGGAACCAAAAAGGGTAAATTGCCTATTTTTCCTTATTCATTCTTGTCCTTTCCATCTTGATCCATGGGAAAGCAACAAAATAACAAAGTTTAAGCTTCAAAAATCACGACCCAGACTAAAAAAATTGAGAGAAAAGAAACCCAAATTTTGGTGGGTGTTAAAAATCCAATGCGGTGGGGATCTTTGTCAGAAGAAGCAACAACAAAGGTGAGATCCTAAAAAAATCAAAGATTTGATCTGATGGTGGTAGGGGTTGGATTGGATGTGGAGAGGAGCAAAGTGAGAGATTGTGAAGAAGCGGCAGCTGGTTTTCATACTGAAAAGCGAGGGAATGTGTTCTTGGATAGAGTAGAGAAGATTTGTTTTTATGTGGTGGGGCCGCATAGAGAAGGATGCAGCTTCACATCTCGCCTAGCATGAGAAGTATAAAGATATCAAGCAACAATGGGTTTACAAACTTAATGAAGATCAAAGTGGCAGCTAGGCATATTTCCTATCGGACCCTGTTCCACACCATTCTCATCCTCGCTTTCTTGTTGCCTTTTGTCTTCATTCTTACTGCTCTTGTTACCCTCGAAGGTGCCAACAAGTGCTCCTCACTTGGTACCCTTTCTCTTTTAATCTCGTAACATTCTTTTTCTTTTCTTTTTTGTTTTCGGTTAGATCTTCGTTAGGCTTGATTTGGTTTTTCTTTATGCATTTGATGTTAATTCTATCATCTATTAGGCTTTTCTTGGAATCTTAATGATCCGATCATTACTTTGTTCATATGCATTTGGTTATACATTTGATTTTGGTTGATGTTGCGATGCCTTCATTTTCTGGATTCATATCAATATGGTTTAGGGTGTGTATGAATCTAATTGGAAAGTAAGAATCTGATAGTTAAGATTCCTATAAAAGCCTAAAAATCTTTGGTTGATTTTTATTGGTTCATATTGGAACTTGGTTCCTCTGTTATCTTCATATAATCTTGATTTAGCTAATATGCTAATCCGTTTGTTTCTTGGAATCTTGGATTACCTTGATCCCCATTTGTTTATATGTGTGTTTAATCACGCACTGATTTAGGGGTCAGGGGCAATCTTGCTTTTCTTTTGTTTGGTTCATATTTATGCTGCTTTGATTTTTATTGGTTTGCTTTCAAGTTTCAACCCGATTTAGTGTGTGGATGGAGCTAATCCGTTAATATGATGGTTGATTTTAGATTACAGATGGATTAGGATATGTGGGTTGTTATTGGACATGCTTACTTTGATCCTTAAACACCTCTTTTGCCATATATTTTGATGGTTAATTTGTATACATTAATGCTGAAATCTAACAGTTATTTATATTGTTATAAGATCCCAATATAGTAAAAATAGATTTCTTAATGAGTATATTGGTCTTAATTTTAATGGTTGGTTTGAATCTCAGGTTAGTGCAGTTCATTTGTTAATAAAAATGCTTTGGGTATCAGATAAGTGATTCAGATAACTTATGCAGATAGTTCTGGAAGTTCAATAGCATTTATTGCCTCATGGTCTCGGTTAACATATATTTTAACAATTTCTAATGTCTATAATTTGGTTGGATTGGCCTCTGAAGTTAATGGTTATTTTATTTTATAACTGTATGAATTCTTTTGCCAGTGGATTTACAGAAATTAGCATCAGTTTAAAAACTATATTTCTTTGGGATAGTTCAACTTCGGACTAGATTTTCAAATTTTCACAAGTATATTTATGTATTTAACGTTTAAATTTGAGAACTTATTTTCTTGATGGAAAGACCTTTGAAGTTGATCAGAACTGGATAATCCAGACTTATATAATAGTGCCCTCATTGATGCTTGAAATGGGTTGCTTGTGTTATATGATTTTTCTGGTCAATGCATTTTAGTGTTTGTATAGAGTAAATTTGACTGACCATTGAAGAACTTGACTCACTTTCTTGTCGGAATCTTAGTGTTCATATGGTCTTTTATTGTTTATAATATTATCTTTGGGTCCATGACTTTTCTACGTGTTCTACTATGCCCAGATTGCTTAGGCAGACGCCTAGGACCGAGGTTTCTTGGGAGAGTTGACGATTCAGGAGTAAGTATCCCATTCCATACAAGAACTGTTCTTTTGGATTTGTCTTATAGACAACCATTTATCTATGCTTTTAACTTGAGTTTTTTATGGTTACAATGCTGCTGCTGCAGAAACTAGTTAAGGACTTTTATAAGATCCTCAATCAAGTAATCACTGAGGAGATCCCTGAGGGTCTAAAGCTTCCAGATTCGTTTAGTCAACTTGTTTCTGAACTGAAGAACAACCAGTATGACGCAAAGAACGTTGCATTCTCGTTAAGAGCAATGGTATTGCCACACTGCATAAAGATAGTTACTTTGAAATCACTTTTATTCTTCTTTGAAGTTATATTATCCTTTATATATTTAAAAAGTTGAAAAATGTAAAAGTTCAGAAATTAAATATTTGTATATAGATTCATTATGGATTCTAATTTTCTCATAATATGTAAGCTTGGTGAACTTATACTTGGTTATTTTTTTATTGTCTTTTTACACAGATGGAGAAACTTGAAAGAGAAATTAGGGAATCTAAATTCTCAGAGCTGACCAATAAGCACTTTGCTGCAAGTTCTATACCAAAAGGCCTCTATTGTCTTTCTTTGCGTTTAATTGAAGAATACTCTACCAATGCCTATGCACGCAGACAACTACCTCCACCTGAGCTCCTCCATGTGCTCTCTAATAGCTCTTACCGCCACTTTGTCTTGTCAACAGACAACATATTGGCTGCATCTGTAGTTGTTTCTTCTGTTGTCCAGTCGTCAGTAGAACCTGAAAAGGTCGTCTTTCATGTCATCACTGACAAGAAAACTTATGCGGGTATGCATGCTTGGTTTGCACTAAATCCAGTAGCACCTGTCATAGTTGAAGTGAAAGGTGTTCATCAGTTTGATTGGTTAACTAGAGAGAATGTTCCAGTGCTTGAAGCTGTAGAGAGCCATGATGTTGTCAGAAATTACTATCATGGCAATCATATTGTAGGGGCAAATCTCTCTGATACTTCTCCTCAAACATTCGCTTCAAAATTGCAGGCGAGAAGCCCAAAGTACATATCCTTGCTCAACCATCTTAGAATCTATTTACCTGAGGTAATTAGGTGTAGCTATAACAATTTCTTTCTTGTCTTACATGGACAGTTCCATTTATAGCACAATGTCTTTCCTCCTAAACGCCTGTTTGATTGTATGTTTCTAACAGCTCTTTCCAGACCTCGACAAAGTAGTTTTTTTGGATGACGATGTGGTGATACAACGTGATTTGTCTCCACTTTGGGAGATTAATCTACAAGGAAAGGTTAATGGAGCTATAGAAACTTGTAAAGGTGAAGATGAGTGGGTCATGTCAAAACATTTCAAAACCTACTTTAACTTTTCTCATCCCCTTATAGCCAAGTATTTGGATCCTGATGAATGTGCATGGGCTTATGGAATGAATATACTTGATCTCCGTGCATGGAGAAAAACAAATATAAGAGAAACATATCATTTCTGGCTGAGAGAGGTAACTTATCACGTACCAAGTTTCTTGACTATTTCCGTGAAATATCATCATTGCTGTTGTTCCTTAATATCCGATGATCTATATGGGGATGGGTTCTGATCTTGGCATGTTTCCTTAAGGGCATTGTTTCTAACTAAATGAATTCCATTTCGTTTTGAATGATATTCAAGTATTAACTTGGATAACAGTACTTGATTGATTAGTATTTGGTTCTTATAGTTTTACTCTGATTGCTGGCTTGGTTGTGTCAGAACCTGAAATCAAACTTGACCATGTGGAAGCTTGGAACTCTACCACCTGCTCTGATTGCATTTAGAGGCTATGTTCATCCTATCGACCCATCGTGGCATATGCTTGGCTTGGGATATCAGAGTAAGACCAAGATCAAGAACGTGAAGAGAGCTGCAGTTATTCATTACAACGGCCAGGCAAAACCATGGTTGGAGATTGGCTTTGAGCATCTTCGGCCGTTTTGGACCAAGTATGTTAACTACACGAATGAGTTTGTTAGGAGCTGTAACATTTTGCAATGGTAGTTAAGCAAATAGACGGTTTAGAAGGAACGGCATACGTAGAAGAGACACAAGCAAGTCGAGTGGGGTTAGTTTTATGGAAGCCTGAACATTTTTTGAGGCTTATTTAAGAAGGTGAGATTACAAATTGGCCAAGAAAGCAACACTTTTGACAACAGGATTGGTTCTATTAACATTTTTTTTAGTAAGGACCTGCTGGTTACGTAATTGGTTCTATTAGTTTGTAACATAGCAAGCAATGATTCTCTGGGTGGGTAAAGGGTTCTCATATTGCTTTTCCTATATACTTCTTTGGAATAAGGTGCAAAATTTACAGATTAGAAATGCTTCAATTGATTTGGAAAGACAACTTTGACTATTTTTCCCCTTTCCCATGACAAGATATATTCTTTTATTGGTTTCATTATCATTGTAAATTTGTTATTTAAATTTAAAAATAGTATGGCCAACATAGGGCCCAACCGGACTTGAACCGGTGACACCTTGATTTGCAGTCAAATGCTCCACCACTAAGCTATGGACACTTCTAGGGTTGCACTTAATTCGGATTTCAATCCGATCCGGATCGGTTTTTATTCGATCCGGTTTTTTCCCATAGAAAAAAAACCGGTTTATAAAATAACCGGTTCGGTTTCTAACCGGTTTGGAGGGCCGGATATCCTAACCGGTGTAACCGGTTTCGGTTTTAAAAAAACCGGTTTTTTTAAAAAACCGGTTATAAAAAAATCGATTTTAATATTCCAGATTGCTCATAGGGAACCGATTCCCCCCCAAGGGGGTACCGATTCCTCACTGAATGGTTTGGCTCCGAGATTTCCAGAATGCTCGGAGGGAACCGATTCCCCCATAGGGGTACCGATTCCCCCTATTCAACGGTCGAAATATTTGAATTTTACACTTAGGGAATCGATTCCCTATGAGAGGGTACCGATTCCCCCACGCTCTAAGCATTTTTATTAAATGTTTTCACACTTAAACGGCTATATTATCTTCATTAATTATCACTAACGTTCAGAAGTGATTCAAGGTGTATTTAAGCAAGCTTAGAAGTCATTGATCAAAGACAAGAAACATCAAGCAACTAGAATCAAGAGAGAATCAAAGAGAAAGCATCAAACCTCAAGTTCGATAAATTCAAATACTTAATTGAAATACTTAATTAACTCAACATAATTGAAATACTTAAATACTTCCAAGTTTGATAAATTCAAATACTTAAAAACTTCCAAGTTCGATAAATTCAAATACTTAAAAACTTCAAGTTCGATAATTGAAACAAAGTTTACGATAATTGAAATAAAGTTATAAAATAAACTACATTGCCATCTCTTCTTCATCATCTTCGCCTTCTTCGTTTGGAGGGGATATTCCAAGTTCGATTTCTTCAATGTGTAAGTTTGCTTCCAAATCGGCATCAATTGCATCTTCTAGGTGGTGATATGTTGCTTACGAGCCGCTCCATCCAAATAATCCTTTAAACAAATGCATACTTCCACCGACTCGGGACTTAGTCTTGATCTCCGTTGTGATATAACCCTGCCACTAACAGAAAAAGCGGATTCCGAAGCTACCGTAGAAGCTTGGACGGTTAGTAAATCACGGGCCATGGCGGCTATAATCGGAAATTGTGCTTCTTTTTCTTTCCACCAAGCCAAAATATCCAAACTTTCAAACTCTTCAAATGTCATTTTTGATAGAAAATCGCATGACATGTATTTCCCAACTCGCTACTTGGGGTGGTAGTACGTGATCGTTTGGATTGGGAATTTACAAGAGTGTTAAAAAGATTCAAATTTATGTTACTTGGACGTCTACTAGATGATTCCGCATTCATTCTCATTTGATCGTGTATTACACTACTTGATCCGTATTTAGTTAAATAAATTGCAAACATGTCTCGAAAACATTTGTTAAAATAATTTATTTGGTTTTGGACAAAGTTGGGTTCATCATCGGTTAGATTAAAAGCAAATGCAATTTGTTCAATTAGTGTTTCAACCCCACCAACATTTAACGTTGGGTTTAAAGCGGCGGCACAAGTAAAAATGAGGGGAATCTCCTTAAAATATTTTAAAAGTTTTTCCTTCATTGCAAAGCCAATTTCTTGAAAAACTTCGGTTTCAAATTCAAAGTCATTTAGTCGGGTAGCCAACAAAAATATTTGATTAAGAACCAACGGGCTAGTAGGGTAATAAACACCGGATAAAAAAGTTGTTGCATTTTTAAAACCTCAAGCAAATCGGTTATTTTGGCTATAGTTTCCCAACTCGAATCCGGATAAATGTCTGGGACATGACCCCTCTCGAAAAGCCGATCGTGAAATGTTTGCAATGTTTCCCTTTGCCTTAAGGCAGTATGCATCATCATCCAAGTTGAGTTCCAACGAGTTGGACAATCCAAATTAGGACCCAAAGCTTTTTTATTAACAGACTTACAAAATCGTTTATAATCATTTAGTCTTTTGTTGTTGTTACAAAGAATCGATTTTATCATTGTTTTAAATTCTAATCTAATTGGCTCAATAACCTCCAAACCGGCTTGCACGGATAAATTAATTATGTGTGCAACGCAACAGGTATGAAAAAACGCACCGTCTAAAATCGGTGAAAGTAATATTTTCAATCTTGGAACCGCGTTTGTATTATTCGATGCATTATCAAAGGATATAGAAAAAACTTTATTTTCTAATTTATAAAGACAAATTACCCGTTTTAAAAGTGTAAATAAATTAGCACCGGTATGCGGCTCACCGAATAATTCAAACGCGATTGTTCTTTTCATCATTTGCCAATTATCTTGATCTAACCAATGTGACGTAACGGATAAAAAAGAATTTCCGGTATTATGAGGGGAACTCCAAACGTCACATGTAAGCGACACACCATAACGGTGTTCTTGGAATCCTAAAATCATTTTTTCCCTCGCCGTACGCCACATTTTTATAGCATCTCTTCTAAGGGTAGTACGACTTACTTGAGTATAACGTGGTTGCATTAGTTGTTGAATTGTTGTCGTGAAATCTTCATCATCAAAGTGGTCGAACGGCAATGCTTTTGTAATCACGAACTTTGTAAACGCTTCTCGTAATTTTTCGTTGTCGTAAACAAAAACACCACCTTGCGGTGTAAGATTCGATTGACTAGGATCCGATCTTGAGCGAAGTGCCTTGCATGATTTTGTCAAATGGTTCTTTAACGTTGTGTTTCCTTCCGATGCAAGAAACTTTAGACAAAGTTTACAACGCGCCCTCCTCGAGCCATTTGACATCTCACATAAATCGTAGTGATCCCAAATATCTTTGTTTCGAGTGTGTTCGATCACTCTCACGACTTCAAGGTTTCCCCGACGGAAGATTCAGCAGTGTTACTCATGATGAATAAAAAATTACAAAACTAAGATTTGAGAGATGTTTAAGTGTTGTGTAATAAGATTTGAGAAAGTTGTAATCAACCAAATACATCCCCAACCTATTTATACATGTTTAGGATGGTAAAATAGTAATTTTTTAAAGAAAAAAACGGTAAAAAACGGTCACAAACGGCTATATTAACGGCTAGTTTTTTAAACCCAGACCGGTTTTTTTTCCGGATAAAAACCGGTTTTTTAACCGGTTTTTTTCAAACCGGTTTTTTATCCGGTTAAAAAACCGGTCTGGGTTTTTTTCTCCAAACCGGTTAAAATAACCGGTTTAAAAAAATCCGATCCGGTTAAAAAAAACCGGTTTTTCCCAAAACCGGTTTCGGATATTTTTTTCGGATATTCGGATATTCGGATTTTTTGTGCACCCCTAGACACTTCTGTTAGTGAATAAAAATATATTTTAATGATTCTTTTAATCACTAATTACTTTCTCCTTCTAAATTATTTTAATCATTAATTTTTTTTAAAGAATTTATCCATTTTGTACTCGGATTTGATTATTTTAATGATGTAAAAATTTTGAGATTTAATCATATAATATCATTTTAAAGTACTATATTATCAAAAGATAAAAGAGTTATTAAATTCAAGATAGAGATAAAAAAATTAAAAAATATATTTTTTACAAAAAAAATCAAAATTCAAAAGTTGTTTATTAAAATATAATGCTAATCTGATCGAATATCAAAACCCAATGGTTGTGATGTTGCATGCTAGACGTAGGTTAGAATTTACTTTTAGTTTTATCTTTAGAAAAAGTGAAATTTGTCCAAATTCCACATCTCTACGAGAACAAGACAAGAAAATGGAAGCATTGACCATAGATTTAGAAAACTCCGAGACATCCTCGTTTGTACAGATTTATTGATTTGATCTAATGAATTATATCAAGGCGCCCCAATCGGCTTTTCTTGTTCTTCAAAGCTTGGATTTTCAGCCAACAAAAACCAACCCAGATCAGTTTTGGAATCAAGTAAGATAACCCATCAAACTTTTCCACTGCTTTTAAGTAATTGTTGGAATTTGGCTGGTTTGCTTCTCTTAATTTTGAGATTTTCTCTTCTTTAAATATGGGTCGACGCTTTACTTATTTGGTGATTTTTTATGTCTTGAACTGTTTTTTCACGTCCTTTAAATATTTTGTAGTGGATTATGTTCTATTTATGGATTTTACCCATTTTGGTTTACTTTGAAACAGTTATTCAAATCTCTCTTGAAGTTGCTACCTATTATAGTTCCCCTGCATATCTGTTTTCACCTTGTTTCTGAGTTGAGTGATTCAATTTTCTTTTTTATCGAAAGGAGTTGCAGATGCTGGTATTCGAAGTTTGAACTGGTTGAATGCCACTTTGGGTGTCTTTACAGCATTCCAGATTGAGGTTTTTGTTTACACTAAAGGAGAAGGGGCCAAGTAAAGATCTTGAGGAGTTGGGAATTTTCAAGTTTCCTGGAGATGGCTGGTGTACAAGATCAATTGGAGATCAAATTTAGATTGACCGATGGATCGGATATCGGTCCTAAAACCTTTCCTGCTGCTACCAGTGTTGCAACCTTGAAGGAAAGTGTTCTTGCACAATGGCCTAAAGGTTAGTTCGAATCCGAAATTTATTTTTGATAGACAGACTTATCAAGTTTTTGTATCTAAATGTATCAGTTCTTCATCTAATTGTCTTTTGATTATTGTTTCATTCATCCATATGGGTTGAACTAGGAAGATCATGATATTGGTTTTTGCAATTTGTTTGTATTGCTGGTTGAATATTCAGATAATATAAACTATGCAATAAAATATTATCTTATGCTAGAAAAATTCATGGCAGAGAAGGAGAATGGTCCAAGGACAGTGAAAGATCTCAAGTTAATCAGTGCTGGAAAAATATTGGAGAACAACAGAACACTGGAGGAGTGCCAGATCCCTCTTTATGATATTCCTGGCGGATTGACGACGATGCATGTTGTCGTTCAACCTCCTTCAGAGAAAGGTACAGCTATTATCTGTGGGGATCCAAAAATTATAAACTGAACTTTTTCATATGCAGTTTTGGATTAACTTTCTTTATCAAGCAGAAAAGAAGGCAACAAATCAAGCACAACAGAATAAATGTGTCTGTGTCATATTGTAATCTACGGCTCCCGGAGAGGATGGCGTCATTTTCATGTGGTTTTCCGTCACTCTACTCTTCCTATTGCAGCTAACATAACATAACCCTTGGTTTTTAAACTAAGTTCCATCCAAAGTTTTTCTGCAGATGATGAGTGCTTGAACTGGTATAGAAGATCAACTTGAGGTGTTTTCCGATTGATGAAGTTGGTCAGCGTCTTGCAGATTTATCATATAAGTCATGTTTTTTGCTTCCAGTTTATACCTTACTTCTTTAGCCGATCACCATCCATCCATTCCGTTCAATTTTTCTCATTTCATGTTATCGAATCGCTGATTTTGTCCAATTTCATACCACCAAGTGAATTTTTTGTGTTTCTGATTCTTCTTCCCTTGTACAATATCGCCTTTTATCTTGTAATTGAACTCATGTTGGTTGTCATACTTTTTTTTACCGATTATAAAGATTCATGTCGACCTTTAGCGAATGCTGCCAATATTTCATCATCTCATTTTTGCATTTCATTTCAATTAAACAGTAAAATCTCAAAGAAGGGTAATAAAAAAATCTTGTTTTTGTTGTCCTTAAGATTATAAACATGTTTGCATAATTGTGAAATGGTATACGATGATGTATAAGCTTAGACATATCTAAGTTCCTGCGGGTTAAGGAGCTACATGTCATCGTTTCCGACCTGAGACCGTCTTCTTAACAGCTCCGACGGACACTAAAAACTCATCGAGGGATGATAAGGTCCTCATATCATCTGGTGGGAAGTAACTGGCTGCCTTCCCCATGAGTGATGTGAAGAGAAGAGAAAGTGAAGGCCGAGTCACATAACGCTCACCCAAAAGATCATCAAGAAATGCAAATGCAGCTAACAGTTCGGCTCGGCCTGCTTTGATCGGTCCTGCGAAATGTGCAGGGATTATCCTCTTAAATTTCCAGTCCCTTGCAATGCCGTCAATCCAATCCCGAACCTGACTTTCAGAGAAGGATGAAAGATAATTAAACAGTTACACCCTAAATCAGATCACTTGGAAACATAAACAACAACTACGCCAGGGATTCTTGACAGATGAAATAATCTCTTCTGGTTTATGCAGTAAGAAAATCAGAGTCGCAAAGATATGAGTTGGACACGGAAAAATGTCAAGCTCGGGTTAACATAGATCAAAAGGGCTCTTAGTTCTTACCTTTTCCGGAACTTTGCTAAAGACTAGTGTCTTTACAATTGGAGAAACAATCAACTTTTGAGACATCTGCGCAAAACTAGCCTTTGGTTCCAAAAGATTCGACGGACCGAGGAACAGTATCTGTAGAACCATTCTTTCCCATCCTGTGACATACTCAAGCTATATCAAACTAATTTGAAAAATATTTGAGCTCTTCAAAGTAATTCGACATGTTAATCTAACCTTTTTGGCGGTTTATTTCATTGTCAACAACTGGTTCATAAATAACTTTCTTCCCTTTGCTAAGAATTTTTACTGCCAATCCATTTTTGGCTGATGCCAAGAGGTACTCTTTGTTGATACACTCCGGTGGCTTTTTCGGAACATATATGACAGCGTCTGTAACCAGAAGTGTTCTCGAACGTTTATGATAGAAAGCAACCTCTACATATGGTCCAATCCCTGAAATAGTTCAAGGAAATCGAGCTCGAACTTGGAACATCTTTAGATATATAGTTGAAAGCAGCAGTTCATATTTAACTTACCAACTTCTGGTGAGCTCAGAACTTTCTGTTCGATCTCATCTGCCCATGGAGTCGATGGATCCTCGTTTTTCAAGATTTTGGCACGAAAAATCCCGAAAAACTCGAGGGGTAAATTCAAGGGCCAGCTCCACTGCCTCGGTGCCACCCAAACTTGAGCCTTTGGAAATTTTCTAGAAAATGGACCCACGAAAATCTTATGCTCGTATGCAAATGTCGGCAGGACAATGTATTCTACTGGAGCTCCTAATTCCTTCAGAAGCTGGAAAATAACAGACAAATCCCCATTCCCTTGTTAGATAATGCATAACAAGTTCGTTAAAGAGCAAAACCGGAGTAGAGGTCAAACCAGTGATGCCTTCGAGTCACCAGTTCATTCGGTCCAATTGTTCGGACCGAATGATTAACTATAGAACTTGTGGTTCTGTGACAAATGACAGACAGTAGTTGGTTCATGCCACTATTCGCTAAGGTTTTCATCAATGAATTTTCTTGTTTTCATTTTATAGGATTCATTTCCTACTCAAAGCAGCTGCAATCAAAATCGAAGCATAATCGAAAAACCGAGAATTTAGAGAGGAAAAGTGAACCTCGATGCACTCTTTGGTAGGAGCAATAGGTGCATGAACCCATAGGCCCCCAGATTTCAGTTTGATGACTGTCATTCGAATGTTTGTGGACACACTGCTGAACCCTAAAGCTTGCTCTTGCTCGAATAGCCATATAGAGCCTTTCACAGCCTAACAAAACAATAAGAAGAAGAAGAAGAATCAGACAATCAGTATAAAAAAACTTTGGTATGACATTAACTAAAGAAGAAAAATCTGACCTCAGTCCTAGTAGTGCGCCTGTTAAGAAAAGGGCCAAGGGGGAAAGGAAAGCCAGTGATGTTAAAGTAAAACCTGTTGGCGGAGCCACCACTATTGCTTCCAGCTGTGACGGCGGTGGAACCTGAACCAGCTGAAGCAACCACCAAGCTGAAATTACAATCTTTTTGCTGGCTTCTTCTTGGTTTCAATTGTAAAGAAAATCCCTTCAAGGAATTACCAAGGAAACTCGAATTGGAATCTCTTAAAGGGATTGGACTCTGAAAAAGAGTTGATTTTGGAGAAGAAACAGCAATAACTGCCACCATTTTGTTTTCCTTTTGGGAATCTTTGTTTAGTAAATTTGGCAGTTTTAACTTGAAACAACAGCCAGAAAGTTCTTGCACGGAGGAGAAAGCCAAGATGCAATGCAATGGATGTAATTATGGGACATAGTTCCGACACGTGGAGGTTCATAGTCCAACTTGGATTATGTGAGGACGGAAAAATAATGGAACAGAAGGAATCAAGAAATTTAAGAGATAAAATACCTATTTAGTGATGCCTTCCTTGCCTATAGGTCGTGGAAAAAATATTTTTTTCATTTTTTGAATTATAATTTTTTATTAGTATGAAGACATTGTAAATTCTTGGGGTTTTTTTTTTATTTGTCTGAACACGACATGAGGTCGTGAGGTCTTTTTCATTTGTCTGAAGATGTCATGTAGTCGTAGAATCTTTATATTTAGCTTGAAGACGCTTGAAGCACGTGACGTCTTTATGTTAGTACTCTTCAATTCACTCTAAATGGAGAAATAATCTCCGAGGTGAATTATATTGGGAATTAAAAAATTCTACTTATATTATCTCAACCATTATACCATTTAGTGATCCACTTGATAATACAAATTCATTTTGATAACTTAATTATTTTTTTAAAAGATTATTATATTTTAGTTTTATTTCGATCCTCGACAATTAAAAATTAACAGTGATTTTGACATATTACAATAAGGTAATATCATATTATCATTAGAAAAAATAACATATTAGCAGTTTTCTTTTATTTTCAACGTGACCATAAAAAACGTAACGTTAGACATGATTTAAAGAAATAATTAAATAATCAAAATAGAATTGTATGAATAAATAGATACTAAATAGGTAGTTTATCCTTAAATATAAAACAACTACAAAACAACATTGGAAATTGTAAAAAGGACTACCATACCTACGAACCTCCTACAAATTTCAGTTACCCCAACGGTAATTTTGTTGACACGTTTTGACCTTTTTTCTTTCTTTCTAAATTGCCTGGATTTGCTTCAAATATGGGGATTGAGAATATGGCGTCGAACTTTCATCCAAATTAGAATAAAACACCCAAAAATCCACTTATCTGTGCTGTCCTTCTTGTTGGATCATAAACTTGATCCATTATGGGAGCCTAAACTCAAACCCAAACTAAATTGATGTCATTGCTTATATCATTTAAGTAAAGATGTCATTGCTTACATCATTTAAGTAATGATGTTATTGCTTACATCAATTTAGTTAGGTGAGAGTTAGGTATTTGTTGAATTTGTAATGGTTTAAATTAATTTATTTGTGTGGTGTAGGATTATTCTTGAGTAGTATAAATACCCCTCCCCATTTTAGTTTTAAGTATCAAGAAAAATTAAGAGCTTCGAAGTGAGTGAAGAAGCAAAGTCTTATAAGAGTGAGTTGTAGTTCTTGTTTTTGAGTGAGAGTGCTCTTGTAATATTTGTTTGAGTTTCAATAAAAGTTGTTTGTATGAGTGTTTTATTTCCAACAAAGTGGCATCAGAGCGAGTTGGAAAGATCGAAGGTCTCGACGAGAGAAATCCGAAGCCGCCAGAATTTTCTCAATCTGAGTTCTGACGCACCACCACGCACCGCCGGAAGACTGTTGCCAGAAAATCGAGTTGACTCACCGAGTTGACTCACCGAGTTGAGCCGAGTCAGCCGAGTTGGAGCCCTTGACCGAGTTGTCCAAGTCTCTCCCAAGGTTTTTTCGGCGTTCCAGATTCATCCGTGCAATCGAATTTTACAAAATCTCATTATATTGAGAGATATGGCAAATGGTATGGCACCATTCCAAGTTCCGACACTCAACAACAACAACTACGACAATTGGAGTATCAAAATGAAGGCACTTCTTGGATCATAAGATGTGTGGGATATCATAGAGAAAGGCTATAACGAGATTGTGGATGATGTTGTTTTTGTTACTCTTACACCAGATCAAAAGACAACTTTGAAGGATTCAAGAAAGAGAGACAAGAAGGCTCTCTACCTCATCTACCAAGCATTAGATGATGATGATTTTGAAAAGATTTCAAGTGCAAGCTCTAGCAAGGAAGCATGGAAGAATCTGCAAACCTCTTACAAAGGATCCGAGCAAGTGAAGAAGGTTCGTCTCCAAACATTAAGAGGTGAATTCGAATCCTTACACATGAAAGCATCTGAGTCTATTTCAGATTATTTCTCAAGAGTAGTAGTTGTTTCTAATCAATTAAAAAGAAATGGTGAAAAGTTAGAAGATGTGAGGATAATAGAGAAGATACTCCGTTTGTTGGATCCCAAATTTGAGCACATCGTCATGACAATTGAAGAAACTAAAGACTTGGAAGAAATGAAGATCGAGCAGCTCCAAGGATCATTGCAAGCATACGAAGAGAAACATAAGAAGAAGCATGAGTTTACTGAGCAACTCCTCAAGCTGCAACTCAAGGATATGCATGAGAGCCAACGCAATGATAGAAACCAACGTGGAAAAGACAGAGGTCGAGGTCGTGGACGAGGCTGGAATTACAACAACAACAATTCCAGCAACAACTATGAGAAAGGAGAAAGCTCAACACGAGGCCGTGGAAGAATCAATCCGAACTCAAGGCATGACAAATCTCAAGTTCGATGTTATAATTGTCAGAAGTTTGGGCATTATGCTTCAGAATGTAGAGCTCTCAACAACAAAATTAAGGAGAATGCCAATTACGTGGAAGAAAAAGACAGATGGCAAAGAAACTCTTCTTTTATCACGAAAGGAAACTGATGGTGGCCAAGCAAATTCCTGGTATCTTGAGAGTATTGCAAGCAATCACATGTGTGGAAGGAAATACATGTTCGTGGAGCTAGACGAGTCAGTAAGCGGAAATGTTTCGTTTGGAGATGATTCCACAATAGCAATGAAAGGGAGAGGTAACATTCTTATTCGTTTGAAAGATGGGAGACATCAATTTATTTCAAATGTCTACTATGTGCCCAATATGAAAAGTAACATCTTAAGTTTAGGGCAACTGGTAGAGAAAGGTTATGATATTCATATGAATAATTATAATCTTTCTATAAAAGATGATAAGAATAATTTCATTGCTAAAGTACCGATGTCAAAGAATAGAATGTTCTTGATCAACATACAAAATGATGTTGCAAAGTGCCTGAAATCTTGCTACAAAGATGCATCATGGCTTTGGCATCTTCGATTTGGGCATCTCAATTTTGGAGGTCTAGATCTGTTATCTAAGAAGGAGATGGTGAAAGGACTACCTCGCATCAACCATCCTGACCAGCTCTATGAAGGGTGTCTAGTCAGGAAACAATTCAGGAAAAGCTTTCCAAAGGAGTCAGAGACAAGAGCCAAGAAGCCACTTGAGCTCATCCATACCGATGCGTGTGGACCGATCAAGCCAAGCTCTCTCGGTAACAGTAACTATTTTCTTCTCTTCATTGATGATTTTTCAAGAAAAACCTGGATATATTTCTTGAAACAGAAGTCAGAAGTTTTTGAAGTCTTCAAGAAGTTCAAAGCAGCAGTGGAGAGAGAGAAAGCGGTAGAAAGATCAAAGCCATGAGATCCGATCGAGGTGGAGAATTTACTTCCAGGGAGTTTCAAGAGTTCTGTGAAGCAAATGGAATTCGTCGACCAATGACAGTTCCTAGATCCCTCCAGCAAAATGGTGTGGCAGAAAGAAAGAACAGAACAATCCTCGACATGGCACGAAGCATACTCAAAAGCAAGAAACTACCCAAGGAATTTTGGGCGGAGGCAGTAGCGTGTGCAGTCTACTTGACAAACAGATCTCCAACAAGAAGTGTATGGGGAAAGACACCGCAAGAAGCATGGAGTGGAAGAAAGCCTGACATTTCCCACTTGAGAACCTTTGGAAGTATAGCCCATGTTCACGTACCAGACGAGAGAAGAACGAAGCTTGATGATAAAAGCGAGAGTTTTATCTTCATCGGCTATGATATTAATTCGAAGGGCTACAAGTTGTACAATCCAAACAATAAGAAGTTTGTGATTAGTCGAGATGTGGTTTTCAACGAAGAAGGAGAATGTGATTTTAACTCTCATACAGATGACTTCAATTTCTTTCCTCAATTTGAAGAAGATGAGCATACAATGAGGGAACAACTAGATGAATCTCAACAAGAGCTTGCAACTCCACCCACTTCACCAACATCAACCACTCAAGGAGACTCATCACCTTCGTCATCGTCAAGTGGGAGTCAAAGTGAAAGAGTTGTGCAACGCACAAGAAGCCTTAGAGATCTCTATGAGGTAACTGAACGACAAGATAAACTTACATTATTTTGTCTGTTTGCCGATTGTGAATCAGTGAGCTTTCAAGAAGCGGTACAAGAAAAGAAATGGAGAGATGAGATGGATGAAGAAATCAAGGCCATCGAGAAGAATGACACATGGGAACTTACCTCACTTCCCAAGGGACATAAGGTGATAGGTGTCAAATGGGTGTACAAAACAAAGCAAAACGCCAAAGGAGAGATTGAAAGGCACAAGGCGAGGCTAGTTTCTAAAGGCTATAGTCAAAAGGATGTAATTGACTATGATGAGGTATTTGCTCTTGTTGCTCGATTGGAGACTATCAGACTAATCATTTCTTTGGCAGCTCAAAACAAGTGGAAGATACAACAGATGGATGTAAAGTCTGCCTTCCTAATGGAGTTCTTGAAGAGGAAGTTTACATTCAGTAACCATCAGGCTATGAAGTAAAAGGGCATGAAGACAAGGTGTTGAAGTTGAAGAAGGCTCTTTACGGGCTAAAACAAGCACCAAGGGCATGGAATGGCCGAATCGACAAGTTCTTCCAAGAGAATGGCTTCAAAAAATGTCCCTACGAGCATGCTCTATATATCAAGATCAAAGATGAAGATATTTTGATCGTGTGTGTCTATGTGGACGATTTGATCTTCACTGGAAGCAACCCAAGCATGTTTAATGAATTCAAGGATGTGATGATGAAAGAATTCGAGATGACAGACATGGGGCTCATGGCGTACTACCTTGGCATTGAAGTTAAGCAACAAAATGATGGAATTTTCATTTCACAGGAAAGCTATGCAAAGGAGATACTGAAGAAGTTCAAGATGGAGAACTGTAAGCCAATAAGCACACAGGCAGAATACGGGATCAAGATGACCAAACATGAGAAGGCGAAAGTGTAGATCCAACATTCTTCAAAAGTTTGGTAGGAAGTCTATGCTATCTAACTTGCACAAGACCCGATATTTTTCACGCAGTTGGATTGGTTAGTCGCTACATGGAATCTCCAACAACCACCCATTTTAAAGCCGCAAAGAGAATTCTTCACTATCTGAAAGGTACAATTGACTTTGGCTTGTTCTATTCAGTTTCTAATGATTACAAGCTTGTTGGATATAGCAACAGTGATTGGGGTAGAGACATAGATAATCGAATGAGCACTACTGGATTCGTATTTTTCATGGGAGATATTGCGTTCACATGGATGTCAAAGAAACAACCGATTGTCACATTGTTCACTTGTGAAGCGGAATATGTTGCTGCTACCTCATGTGTTTGTCATGCAATTTGGCTTAGAAATCTATTAAAAGAGATAGGTTTGATACAAGAAGAGCCTATCAAGGTTTGTGTCGATAACAAATCAGCCATTGCCTTATCAAAGAATCCAGTATTCCATGATCGAAGCAAGCACATCGACATTCGCTACCACTATATAAGGGAGTGTGTTGCAAGAAATGATGTGGAAGTTGAATACGTGAAGTCACAAGATCAAGTTGCCGATATTTTTACCAAGCCACTGAAAAGTGAAGACTTTATAAGATTAAGGAACTTACTAGGGGTCACAAGATCAAGTTTAAAGGGGGGTGTTAGATCATAAACTTGATCCATTATGGGAGCTTAAACCCAAACCCAAACTAAATTGATGTCATTGCTTACATCATTTAAGTAAAGATGTCATTGCTTACATCATTTAAGTAATGATGTTATTGCTTACATCAATTTAGTTAGGTGAGAGTTAGGTATTTGTTGAATTTGTAATGGTTTAAATTAATTTATTTGTGTGGTGTAGGGTTATTCTTGAGTAGTATAAATACCCCTCCCCATTTTAGTTTTAAGCATCAAGAAAAATTAAGAGCTTCGAAGTGAGTGAAGAAGCAAAGTCTTATAAGAGTGAGTTGTAGTTCTTGTTTTTGAGTGAGAGTGCTCTTGTAATATTTGTTTGAGTTTCAATAAAAGTTGTTTGTGTGAGTGTTTTATTTCCAACACTTCCATCAGAGGATGTAACAGAAACAATACGGAAAATGGTCATCAACATTCATCTCCTGGTGGTGGCCTCCGTGAAGCATCCAAAGCATTTTACTTTGTTTTTGTTTTCGTAAAAAGACCACTCTTGATCTCCCGCGTCAAATGTTTTCTTACCTTTCGGCAAGTTCTAGGATCCGAAACTTGGTGTCCAAGAAAAGAACGCGAATCGTAGTCGGCGGATACGATCTCGACATGTCTTACATAACCTATCGTGTGTTGGCAATGTCCTTCCCCGCTGAACGAATGCGGGTGGTGTATTGGAATCCTCTATGGCGGGTCAAGTCTGTGCTGGAAATGAGACATCAGGGGCATTACAACGTCTATAACTTGTGAATAGAAGAAGACTATGATCCATCACACTTTCATGGTCGAGTAGAGCGGTTCCCTTTCGATGACAATCATGTTCCCACTTCGAAATGATGAAGAAGTTGTGTGAGAGTGTTCATTCATGGCTATCAAAGGACCCTAAAAATATTGCAGTCGTGCATTGCATGGTATTAACTCGTAAAATTGAACATATTCGTGTCAAACACATATCCCTATCTACCTGAATTTCTATTCTTCACTGAATTTGCAGGCAGGCAAAGTTCGAACAGGCTTAATGGTATGTACCTACCTTGTTTACACTGGAATGTCAGCTGAGTAAGCACTTCAGTTATACGCCCAAATGCGGACCACTAAAAATGAAGGGGTAAGTAACTATTTTGCTCCGACTCTTCATTTACTCGAAATACTTCGAATAACATAGCTCTTGTATATATTTCATTGCATCAACTTGCTTTTGAGGATTTTTTTTTGTGTTCAAAATTGTTGCACTTTTGTTGATAGGTTTCTATTCCAAGCCAACATCGTTATGTGGGGCACTGGGAAAAAATACTTTTTTTTCCTAGGGGAATTGGCAACGGACCTCCAGAAGTGAACTTGCCTCAACCATGCAGTCGAGAATTGCGGAGGATTTGGCTTTACGATACAGTTAATACCAACTCTGTCTTCTTCGTTGTCTCTGAGCTCCAAGAGGTTAGATCATTTGTAACATCAAGTAAATTCACATGTTCAAATAAAGTGCCATGATATAAACTGAGCTTGGTTTCACGTTCCTATAACCTTATACGGTAGATCCCGGATCAGATGTACCGCCCACAGGTGGAAGTTGCCAAGAGTTGCAGTCGAGAAATCAAAAAGGGATCCGAAGGGAATTGCAGTCCTAGGTATTTCTTGTCATACGTCGAAGGGGACAAAAAAGGGGATGCACCGGAATCGAAAGGACCTCGTTTCGTAGTCCAAATGGACACAGAAAGTCCAGTGTTGTATCAGAAGAACTGTCTTGACTATTGTTTCACAAAACCTGTTGAAGTAAGTCACTTGCATCTATATACTATCGAAGTAAGGTGTGTCAGAAGGTGTGTCACGGTGTCCTTTGCCGAGTCATCCACCGCTTACTATGGATATCCATTACCGATTTCCTCTCCATTTTCATCAGCTTCGAAATATCATCTTGGTGAGTCAGAAGGTGTGTCACGGTGTCCTTTGCCGAGTCATCCGGGGATTCATCTTCTAAAGGGGCTACTTCTTGTAAACCCGAGAAAGACCTCGTTCGGGTTCTACTAGAACTAATTGGACTGCATAAAGGAACTGCATTTAAACCCAAAAAACAGAAAAGAATAAGGCATTGCATTTAACTAATAGAACATGAAAATAAGAAACACAAATATGGGTTTTGCAAATAACATAAAAAATGAAGGTTTTATTCAACGAAACGTACCTGAAGTAAGGGGGCAAAGTGAAAGAGGAAGAGAGAAGGGTTTAGGGTTTAAGTCAAGTTTAAATGAAGATTAGATAAATACGTATGGATTAAACTATTGCAAGTACTCATTCTTTTTATTCGTTTAACAATAAAGGTTATAGACGAAGTATACGAACTTAAGATCTCTAAAATTGACCCTCATCTTTTTAATCATTAAGATGTTTGATTCGTGTAGAATATATATTTAATATTGAATATATGAAAGGTATATATTTTTTTATATTTCTTAGTGTAAAATTTAAATTGATAAAATATAATTATAAAGGGCTATTATTTTACCATTTTAAAATACAACCAACAGAAAAATTGAGAGGCAGTTAACATTTACAGATGAGACAGCTTCTGGAACCTCATTCTCAACTACCACGAAGAACCCGCGATTCAGTCAGTTATTTTTCTTTTTTTTTATTCTAAAATGTACATTTCTGTGCATATATATATATATATATATATACACACACATATGCTTCGTACTTTGCACAGTGAACTCATTGATTCAAAGCTTCGAACATCTGCATTCTTTACTACCTTTCAGTTGAAGATCAATGGAGGTCAAGTTGTTGAGTGCTTCTTCTCCACCTTCGTTTTCTGTTCCTGGAGCAACCAAGTTTTCAAGACCCAGTCTTGTTTCAACTTCACCAACCATAGAATTCCCCATCT